CGGACATGGTCTCTGGAGACTGCACAAGTCTCCTCCCTCCCAGGAGTGGCCCCACTGGACCAAGGCAGGGCCCTGGAGGCCTGGCCCCAGCATTCCTTCACAGCACTTCCCTCAGGCCTCTCTGAGCCTGCACCCTGGGGACCCCTCCTGGGCCCCGATGGGGACCATGTCTGACCCCAGCTCCCCTTGGGGACACAGCTACACATGCACAGGTGATATGGCAGCATCTTGCCTCCTGGCCGGGCAGGTACCCCGTCCGTGGTCCGTGCACAGAGCAGGGAAGCCTTCAGGAGGCAGCGGCTGTACCTTTTCGTGCTGCCGCAGGTACTCCTCGCAGGAGCAGAGGGTCCCCACCGGCTGGGCCTCGCCAAGGGCACATAGAGCGCTGCAGATCTGCTCCTGCACCTGTGGGTCCTTGTCGGTTACTGCATCCATGAGTGTGGTACACAGCCCTGCGTGGCGACGACAGCCCATCAGCCCCCCAGGCCCAGAGTCCACTACCTGCCAGGTACCACCTCTAGGTTCTCCAAGGCACTTCCATCTCCATAGTCTTCTAGTGTCATAGGGACTGGAAGTGTCTCACCACCCCGCCTGCCCACAGCTCACTTTTCATGTAGGATTCAGCCATGTCTGCGACTGCTGCTTCCTCCTGCCCCAGAGACCTGGTATCCTTTCTGGCCTGTGAGCTGTGACTCCGTGTGCACAGCAGTTACTGCATGGGTGCAGGGCACATGCCAGTAACCAGCTCTCTCCAGGATAGATGGCGGTGCCGCATTCTGGTGTGAACCTCTTGGACTTGTAGCCTTGGCTCGAGTCACACACCAGGGTACCACCAGCCAGGAGGAATGCGCTGCTGTGGCCTAGTGCATGGTCCTCTTCACTCTGCAAAGCAGGGGCTAGGTTGGGACCCATTCCCATTTTTTGCACAACAGGTAAAGGGCCAAAGACGGCAGCTGGCGCAGCGGCCGCAGCCAAGGCCTCTGAACACTAGGCGCCGACCCAGGGTGAAGCAGAGCAGCCTCGGGCAGGGAGAGTGGGAATGGCACTGCAGAAGCACACACAGCCGCCTGCCCTCCCGACACCTGCAGTGACCGTTGCCACCGTTGCCAACACCCACCTCACCCTCCTCCTGGGGGACAAAGGGACAGCATGGTGGGCAGGGCAAGGGAGGGGTCGCCAATCCCACCCACCCACCTGACCCTGTAAATGATGGAAAAGATGCCCACTCCCAAGAACAGGTCCATAAACACCCTGGAAAACCAGCCAGAATCAAATGAGCAGGCCAGAATCTCCCAGGATCCCGGGAGCCTGGAGCAGATGGTGACACTGCTGCCGATGGAGGCTTCAGCCAGCCCAGCCCCTTCCTGGGGCACAGCAAGGAGCCTGAAAGCGCCCGCACATGAAGGGTTACCAAAGCAGGGGGGAAAGTTCCAGAACTCGTGTCTCAGTGAGGATACACCCTAGATGGGCCCCAGGCCCCGGCCTGATCTGAGTGGGGATACTTGCTAGCAGAGTCCGGAGAGGACAGGCTTTCAAGGATCTGAATAGGGCCACGTTCGACCTCACATCTTGGGAGGTGAACAAAGACCAGGCTGACCCAGATGCCACCACGCCTGAGACACCCACCACTCGCCCACATGCAGATGGCAAGGCTCACCCCTCAAATGAGAGCAAAGCAGAACAACCACCGCTCAAAGGCCTTGGCTTCCGAATCCACCCTCCTGAGAAATCAGCAAGCTGACACCAGTCTCCAGGACAGTGACCTGGGAGGTGGGACCACCTGGCTCCAGGCCTGGAGAGTGTTGGGAGCGGAGGCAGCTGGAGCCCACAGGGTCCAGCAACCAGGAAGGAGCTACCCTGGTGGAGCTTGGGGGGGATGGGGAGGGAGGGAAGGATGTGGCTCAGGAGGTGGGGCTTAGCCAGGATGACATAGGGGGACCTTCATGGGAGGGCCAATGGCAGGTGGGTGCAGCACAGTGGATGTCCTGAAATGGTTGCTATTGCTATCGTTTTACAGCTCCTACCATGTGACTCGGTCGGTGACGCACACATGAAGTGCTTGTGGTCCATCAAGGGGACTGGACTGCTTGCTAATGATGTAAGTAAGGTGCAGGGCCCCCATGCAACTAAGTTATAGGGAGCCCTCCCAGGGGGGTGGGTCCATTTTGCCATGCCACTGGGTTTCTACTGAGACATCCTGGAAGCAGAGAGGAGCTCAGGACCTGGAAAGGAGTGCCAGGAGCATAGCATGACCCAAAGCTCCACCACCACCCCCATACCCAGGAGAGGGGGACACCAGCGTCGGGCCCCCAGCTCAGAGGTGGCAGGTGGAGCTGGGTGCGTTGGAGCACTAAGCAGCGGGGTGGTGGTGGGGGCGCAGGCAAGGCAGCCACCCCAGTGGAGGAGCCTGCCCTAAAACAGGGCAAGCTGTATCCCTAGTCAGTCCTAAACCTGAGCCGTAACCTGTGACTTCCCAAACAAAGATCACAGCTGAGTGCTGTGTGGCAACTACAACAGGCTGTGTGGAACTACAACAGGCTGTGTGGCAACTACAACAGGCTGTGTGGCAACTACAACGGACTGTGTGGCAACTACAACGGGCTGTGTGGCAACTACAACGGGCTGTGTGGAACTACAACGGGCTGTGGCAACTACAACAGGCTGTGTGGCAACTACAACGGGCTGTGGCAACTACAACTGGAGAGGGGTAGCTGGTGTCAGAGTGAACAAAGCACTGGATGGTGGAGGCATGCCTGACTACTTTCTGCCTCCTGAGAATCGGCCTTGGGATTTCGAGCCTCTTTGCCCCTGTGCTGCTAGAGATCAGACACCACCTCGAGCCATTTCCTGGTGGCACAGTGGGTTGCACGTACGGCTGCCACTCTGCAGGAGAAAGACGAGGTTTCTCGGAAACCGACAAGGACAGTTCTACTCTGCCCTATATGGTAGCTGTGCGTCAGAATCCACTTGATGGCAGTGAGTTTTTGAGAGAGGGTGACCATGAGGATTCAGCAGCCAGTGCAAGCTCTGTGGGGCTATGTGCATGTGCTCAGAGTCCAGCCCACTGCTCTGAGCCAACCGCAGGACAGAGAAGAACTGCCCCACTGAGCTTCCCATCTTTACAGAGCAGACGGCCACATCGTCTTTTTGAAGAGTGGGTATTAGGCTGGAGCTTTTGGCTAGCAGCCTAGAGAGTTTACCCACTGTTGTTCCCCCTCCCCCACCAGACTCTGGAGAGAAGCCTCAGGCAGATGGGAAAGGCACCTCCTCCTCCACTCACCCTCAGCTTCTGAATTATGGAACCAATAACATAATAAACATATGCCCTGTTGGAAGAGTGGCTAAACCTCGGGAAGTACAGGACAGTCTACAGTGTCCTGGTAAGGCCTGGAGCAGCAGAGGAACAAGGAGAGTCAGGAGCGGGAAGAAGAAATGGAACATAGAGCCATCTGCCTCTGGGAGGAACCGCTACAACCAGAAGCCCTGTGTGGGTCGAGGGTCACACTGATGGTAAAGTATTCACTATGCTGGAGGTGAGAGTCTACACAGCACGTTAGTTTCCCAACCAATAATTCATGCAGGTGGCTCCCCATTTCCTATCCCTCCCATCTTCTCAACAGGGGTTCTGGGGCTAGCAGTGCCCTCTTGGCCCCCAGCAAAGGCAGGGGCTGGTTCTAAGGTGCACACGTCTGACCAAGTGTCCTCAGTGTTGCGTGAAGAGAACTGTCTTTGGGTAGCAGCCTCAGGGGCTGTTCCAGCCTCTTTCAGTAAGTCTGGTCTTCCCTTTTTTTTTTTTTTTTAATTCAAATTTTGTTTTCTATTCTGTACCCTTTCCAACCAGAACTTTCAATGTGGCCTTGATCAAAGTTGAAGAGCTAAGTACCATCTAATTCTACAGGCTTCACAGTAGAGTAGAGGCAGCTGTGGTGCTTGTGGGTCGTTACATAACTGGATGTTCTCATCAGAGAGACCATAAAAACTGGAATCAAAGCAGCCCGCCACTGGTACAATTACAGATATGAAGACCAATGGATTGGAATTGAGAAGACAAAAATGAACGGAACCCACTAAAAACATGACATTTAGACACAGCAAAAGATTTCATCAATGGTCAACAAGGAACCCACAGATTAGGGGGTAAAAGTCACTAACAATACATCAGATAGCAGGCAATTTTCCAAAAACCTATAGGAAACTACAACATCTTAACAAGAAAAGTACAAATAATCCAATAAAAAAAATGGCCACAAGACATGAACAGACAACTTACCAAAGATGACATTCAGGCAGCCAACAACCATATGAAGAGATGTTCAAGATCATTAGCAATGAGAGAAATACAAGTTAAAACAGCAACAAAGCATCACCTTACACCAGCACTTTTAGCAAAATTCAATTGAACAGAAAATAAACACTGGAGAGGATGCAGAAGGATAGGCATGCTTTGTCACTGCTGGTGGGACTACAGAGTCACACAATCCTAAGGATATCAGTATGGCAGCTACAAACACCTTATGATCCAGCAACCTCTCCACTAGGTATAGACCCTAAATAAATCACGAATACAACACAAACGACATATGTACACCTGTGTTTACTGTGTTTACTGCAGCTACTTCCCTAATCAAAGAAACAACCAAAAGCCCCAATTATAGAAGAATGGATAAACTCTGGTACACTCATACCATGGAACAGTATGCATCAATAAAAACAATGACAACTCACTCAAACAGCGCAAGACATGGACAAAGCTAGCGAACATTATGCTTAGCACACTCACTCAGTCTTATGAAGGTAAATGATTAACAACATTCATTGTTATCAGGAGAAAGGAAGAAAAAGAAATGTGGCTTATACGCCAACAGACTGAGGACTACAAGGAGGCCAGGGCAGGAATGGGGGTGGGCAGGGACAGGTTATTGAGGAGAGAGGGAGGAATGATTAGGGGAAAAGAAAAAGAACCACATATATGGAGGGTTTAACAAGATACTGTTGTTGATTTCATTTCGTGAGATGGGCTGTGTAAATACATACAGTATGTAGCATTAAACATAACATGAAAAACTAAAACAAGAACAAAAAAGTCCCTCTAGATTTTTTTTTTAACTTTGCAAGGTTTTGTTTGATGTTTAGACAGCAGGTATGGGGGGAGGGGTCCCTGGTGGGTCTGGTGTCCATTACCACTGGCCAGGTGATGGGACCACAAAGCCCCGTCAGTCAGAAACCACCAGACAGGATCAGGGGGCACTGTGTTCTTACTTCACCCTCGGTCCTTCTCGAGGGGAGTCCCGATGTCCTTGCCCCACAACTTCAGGCCAATCCTCTCAATTTTGCCCAGAACCTGGTTGCTGAGGACGGCCTGCCCACTCTTGTAACCAGCGATGACTTGAGGCTTCTTGTTGATTTTCGTGGCCAAGTCCTGTGTGAGCCCCTTGCTCTGCCAGCCCTGCTGGATGACCTTGCCCACTTCCAGGGTCATGCAGTCGCTGTGCAGCCCCTCATTTTCTCACGCCAGCTTGGTGGTGCTCTTGGTGATGGAGTGCTGCTTGTTCTGACCAATGGCCCATTTCGTGGACGCCTCTACATCCTCCCCTCTTCTCTGTGCTGGCGGGATTGCCTGCTTGGATTTTGCCTGGGTGCCCATGGGGCCCTTTTTGCCCAATATGGTCACTATGTCCAAGTCGGTAGGTCGGGCACAGTCAGCAACTCTGTCCAGTTACTCTGAGGTGGCTATTTAAGACTCAGTGCATCATCAAAACCCCTCTAGATCCTTTAACCTTCCAACCTAAATAGTGGTCTGACTTAAAAAAAAAAAAAAGTCCATAGAAAACATCTGACCAAATGGGAGAAAAGTGAGGGACAGATTTCCGTGTT